CCGACCAGGTCATAGCCTCGACAGCTTAGGCTCCCAATGAGTCCCCCACGGACTCCCACCAATCCCTAGCTCGATCTCGTAAACACCCCGCTGCGAACCTCACCTTCGACTCCTCAGGGCAGAAGCTAATCATCTGTGTAAACTCAATGTCGGCAATCCATCGTCTAGCAGCTATGGGGTCTTTCGCCCCGTGAAAATCCGGCGCACCACTTCCCCTGAAGTCCTTGAAGGACAGTGTGCGAGATCCTGACTGGCTAGATGCCATATCACCCCTGAATGGCCGAAGGCGATCTTCCATCAACTCAATTATCCCTTCCTTGATCGAACCGAAGATAATGGGGGTCGACTCAAGGATACCCCTGGTGATCTCTGACGCGATGAACTCGCGTAGTCCCTCATCCACTGGCTCGGAACCTGATCCCGAACCTGAACCCTCTCCTGAACCGCCATCTATCGGCCTCGATCATAGTACCACCATTCTGCAATACATAAATAACAATCGTTAGTGATACTGATACTTCTTGAGGGATCACCACTACCACCAATTTCTTGGTCTTATCTTGGACTTCCTTGGTTCGGGTACGGATCCTCCGCTTTCAGTAGTACGGGCCCATACTACCTTCCACATCTATCCGTACCTTCTTCAAGGACTGCCTCGACTCCACCAGGTCCCTTTCACTACCACTGAGCACTACTATACTCATCCTAGGCTTGCCCTAAGGAAATCTCTGATTCTTCCCTATCCAGTCCTCAGCTGCTGCAGGCCTCTTTGTAATGCCAATTAGCCACTACCCGAATACCATCACATGTGATGAGGCTCAGATAATCCTACGAGTACCTGACTCGTCCCTACAACGGTTGGACTCAAACAAGAGCTACGCAGTAGGATCAAATCCGAGACTCTAAGATTATTCAACCCTGATCACATGTGATGTGATGTATTCGCCTAATGGCTAACTCCCATTATTCATAGTCCCACATAGCACGAAGCAAGCAACATTCAGACAAGGGTAAGAATCTCAATCAACCCTATCTGCTTACAGGAACTGTACTAGCATACAATGCTAAGTTCATACCATCAGGCATAACCTAATCAAGCTATCCTACTTGTTGTCTACTCAATACTAGCATGCAATTCTCATACAGCTGAGACACATAAAGCAGGCACATAAGGCATCGCTCCTAGATCCTTAGTCCTATTCTAGCATGTTGTTCTACAAAAGCTGATAAACATAACATAAACTTGTATGGGTATTTTGGGGAATACTTACGTGAGCTCGGCCGATCGCGCACATCACACACTTCGTTCTTTCTCAAACTCTTTTCTCAATTTTTTTTGAAAACATTTTCTTTTAGAAAATCCTTTAATCCCTCGATTTGAGTTCAGACACCCCCGAAGGTGTGTCCGAATCCCTTAAACCAGGGCTCTGATACCAACTTGTAACACCCTAAAATTACCGGTTAAAAATTTCATTTTTAATTTAGGTTAAAACACAAAACATCATTACAAAACATTCATGATAATAATCCATGTCTGAAAACCGGTGACATCATAATAAGAATTCAGAGTACATCCCAGAAAATCCATAGTGCAAAAAAACAAAAGCGTATGTGTGATGTGCTGCTACCGCACCGACTCTTTTCCCTTAGCTGAAGAGGTACCTGAAACCAAAACTGAAAACCGTAAGCACGAAGCTTAGTGAGCTCCCCCATAATACCTCATACCATGCAAGCATATAACATACAACATTCAGCTAGGAGTTACGGGCCTCGCCCTCGCTAATGAAGATACGAGCCCTGCCCACACTTCGCTAGCCGGGAGATACAGGCCTCGCCCACACTCTACTACCTAGGAGATACGGGCCTAGCCCACACTCCACCCTCGGAGAGATACGGGCCTTGCCCACACTCAACCGCTAACCCATAACATACTGGTATCACACATACAACAAGTATAAACAACTCTATCATATTGACATATATATCATAATCAACTAACCCAAGAGATACGGGCTGACCCACACTCTAGTGCTAACATCTCGTCTACACGGGTCGGCCTTGGTGCCGCAGACCCATTCCTATTGGAAGGAAAAATAACCTCGAAGTAGCTGCTGGTCTGTGTGGGAATTGACTGTCTGCTGCTGTTGCTGCTCCGGAAATCCTCCGGCTATAATTCCCACAAAACGCTCAATCAAACACCGCTAACTGACCCTCGGGTAAATTGACCATTTTACCCTTGATCAAGTTAAAGTCAAAGCCGGAGTCAACTTTCAGTCGACCCGACTCGCCGAGTTAGCTCTCCAACTCGCCGAGTCCTTGTCCAAACAATTGTTCTGCAACCCGTCTCTACTCGTCGAGTTGGGCGTTGACTCGACGAGTTCTCCTTCTAAACTGATGTCCAAGTCCTTAATCCTACTCGCCGAGTTGTATGAACAACTCGCCGAGTTCATCTTCATCCGATGAACAATTTATGCTGTGACTCGCCGAGTTGTATGAACAACTCGCCGAGTCTGACCTTGATTCTAAGAAGATTGCCTTGAACTCGCCGAGTCTGGGCATCGACTCGCCGGGTTCCCTTGTGGGTGAGTTTTGGCTTCCAACTCACCGAGTCCACCCTGGACTCACTACACAACTCGGCACAACGAAAAAGGGGACAACTCGGAGACTCGCGACTAGACTCGCCGAGTCAGATGAGTGACTCGCCGAGTCTGCTTCATGCAAGAGCCATGTACGGGATTTTGCTTGAATCCAATCCATGCCATTCATAGACCTGGGTTCCTAGAGCATGAATAACACGTAAAGTTTCCAACTTTACGTAATATTCATCCATGAGGGTTTTAGGGTTCAAAATGCACCAAAAGAGTAGATATAAGGTCTTCATGCAACATGGGTCAATAAAGGCAGTAGATCTGAGCTCCTGGAGCTCAACCATGCCTAGATCTAGAGGCCAATTAGCTTATTACGAATTATAATGCACATACAAGCTTGGGGAAGGGCTCAAGAAAGACTTTAATGGAGTAACAAGCATAGAAACAGGGGGAAAACGAGTTTTACCTCAAAGAAATCACTGAGAGAACACTAAGATGCTTGGCTTCCTTCCCTTCCTCTTGATCTATTCCACTTCCTTCTCAAAATCTTCAAGAACACACACTAAAATGCCTCAAACTCACAAGAACAAGAGCTAGAACGTAAGGAGGGCTTCTGAGGGTAAAGGGGGCTGGCTTGGGGCGGAAATGAGGGCTTAAATAGGGTGCAAACCCCTGGAACTTAGGGTTTCATCCAACAGTGGTGACTCGCCAAGTCCAGGATATGGACTCGCCGAGTCGCCAACTTAAATGTGACCCGAGTCCCGTCTCTACTCGGCGAGTCGGACCTATGACTCTCCGAGTCCAAGGCTAAAATGGAAAATACTCAAATAAGATTTACGTACCAGGAACCAGGTGCTACATTTAGTCTTCTTCATGTTCTGTTGATACTGAACTGTATATGATTACAGTGAATACATTTTCAAAACAAATGAGAGTGAGATTCTATATCTGGGTTTCTTGCTATGTATTTGATTCCAAATCCGAGTATCTGTATCCTTGTGTTTATCATTCTATGGTTTATTAAATGGAGATACGAGTCATACCTTTTTCCGGTCTTCTTCACGCTGCCATATCACAGCCAACACCACCACTTGAAATCGATTGCAAGGGGAAAAGGGAAAAGAGAGTATCGATATAGGGTTAGGGAGAAACAAGTGCATAACGGATTTTTGTTTTGGTGAAATGTTTTGCTTTATAATTTGGTTAGATAACTAAGGAAACATGATTGGAAATTTCTTTGGTTAAAGAACGTATATGGACTATGGAGGTTGAGAGAGAGAGAGAGAGAGAGAGAGAGAGAGAGAGAGAGAGAGAGAGAGAGAGAGAGCCCCTTGGATATTAAATTTACTAGTTTATAACTCGTGAGAACCACGGTTATATAATTAATTAAACTTTTAAAATAAAAACCAAAAATTATTAATCGATTATTTTAAATAAATTATTAATTAAGAGATTTTTTTAGTTATATAAATTTTAATCATTGATTTAAATAAATATGTGAAATTATATCACTTTATAATTTGTATTAAGTTTATTTTTATTTTTATTCTAATGTTATTAATTTAATGCAATTAGAGTGAGAAATTTAAAATTTAAAATTTGAAATGAAAAATTAATAGGTTTACAAATGTCATGTATTAATTAGGAAATATAATATGATGACACATGGTAAAGTGAGAATAAAGTATGCATTAATTAAGAGACTTGATAAGATGACATATATCAAGAGGAGAATAATACTATTTTTTTATTAGATAGGAAGATTTTAAGAAAATAAATAAATAAAAGAAAATTTCATAAAAGGTCATGGATAGTTAAATGATGGAAATACCATTCGTTTAACGGTAGAAAACTAACGGAGTTAATAAAAATGACTAAACATCAAAAGTTTTGTAAACACAGGAATCATCTATGAGGTTTTTAAATCATGAGGACTAAACTTCAGATTTTAGGTAACCATAAGAACTACTTATGATGTTTTTTCTTAATAGTGATGAACAAATTTATTTAAAAGAATATATTGGAAAAAAATTGTACAAATGTTTTTACTTTTGTAATTGTATGTAACCCAAAAAGAAAATAAAACAAAAAAACAAAAGAACATGCAACACATGATGTACATGTGTCATCGGCTTATTTCTCTCGAGGTAAAGTTGGTTTTTTTCCGAACCCGGTTTTGCAACCAGACCGCTTATGTTGTCTTCAATAATCAAGAACCGTATCCATTTCCCCCTTTTCATCGTGTTCTTCGAAATCTCTCTCAGATCAAGCTTCAATTTCTATTTATTTATTCATTTACCCTCTTAAATTGATCTTTTTATTTGTTAATTTCTATCGTCCGCTTTCGATTGATCCAAGTTTTTGATCAATTCGATTATCTAATTAAATTTTAGGGTTAGGGTTTGTTCTTCGATGTTCAGATTGAGGATTTTCCTCCACCGATCCTTTTTATTATCGGATCCCTTCAATCCCTGTAAATTACCCTACGTTGACGGTTCTTAATTTATAGCTTTTTCGTCCAATTTACATTCTAGGGTTCTCGAAGCGCTCGTGTTACGAAAACTCGCTCTTTCTGCAAAATTCATCGAGGGATTCGGTAAGTTTGCTTATTAATTACACCTTTCCTTAATTTTAATGGAAAATTTGTCGATTTAGGCACAAGTTAATACGTAGGGTTTGTTTCCAAGAAAAAAATTTAGGGATTTTTTCTCCTCACTCAATCTAATTGCAGGAAACCTGAAATTAAGTATGACTAGCAGGTTTAACTCTTTTATAATCCAAAATTGTTTTTTTTTAGTTCTCGTTACTCAATTTGTTTACTTAAAAGCCTGAATTATGTATACTTGAATATGTAAAAAATTGTAGTATTTTATTTGTGATTTAAAGTTACAAGTGTTATAAATTTATTTTGCAACGCTTCTTTCTTAATACCAAATTTTGAAGATCAATTACAAATTTTCTTATCCCACATTGTTTTTATTTACAGCAAGCTCCTCTATTCAATCTTATATAAAGTAAAGTTGACTTTTTATCTATTTATACTTCTTTCTTTTTCCCTCCTTTAATTTTATATTTTATAGATGAATATTATTTTGAAATTTAAGGATAAAATGGTGTATTTTGAAACTTAAGGATAAAATGGTCATTTAGTCTCTAGTCTAGTCTCGTGGGCATTATGGTTTATGGTTTATTTCAGGTTGGAATGGGAACCAAAAGACCTTTTGATGAGGATCTTCAGGAGTTCATAAAGCATCCAAAGCATCTTGAAAATGGGAATAAACCTGATACATTTGGAGAAGAAGATAAACATACTCTTGAAACATCTCACAATCTTGGGATTACAGGTGAAAAGAGGATTATAATTTATAAAATATAAATTCTTACACCATATAATATAATATGGGTACACATCAAACGATCTTCGAACTATTTCATTATCTTGATAAAAGAAACCTTTTTGTTAAAAATGGTGTAGGTGAACATGGAGCTACCTTCTTCCAAACAGGTGACTCCATTAAAACCGAGAAGCTCAATTCTGTCACAGAAATGGCGAACGAGTTTGAAACCAGTGAACACTCACGTGAAAACATTCCCGCCCCTGTGTTTCCCTCGAATCTTTTCCCTGAGTTTTTCGAATTCAACATGCCAAGACGACAACTAGTTCATTTTGATGATACGTATTCATCTATTTTGAATAATTCTCCCAGAAAACAGGTTCCAATTGGGCCAGATCATCAAGCCGATGTCCCTGATTTTGATCCAGATTTAGCGAGGAATCTCTCTGAGAATCGAGAGAAAAGTTCATTAGGCGTAATTGTCAATTCACCTCCGAGTGAAACAGAATGTAAATGCTTGGATTCCGGTTCTATCCGATGCGTTCAACAACACATCAATGAAGTCCGATTGAAGCTAAAAAACTCTCTAGGGCTTGACAAATTCATCGATTTAGGGTTACACGAAATGGGGGAAGAAGTATCGCATAACTGGACTGACGAAGAACAACAACTCTTTCAAGACGTGGTTTACTCCAATCCCGTTTCTCTAGGTCGCCGATTCTGGGAACAACTCTCGATTGCGTTCCGATCCCGAACAAAGAAGGAATTGGTAAGTTATTACTTCAACGTTTTCATGCTTCGTAGACGCGCTGTTCAAAACCGATCGAATTTATTAGAAATCGATAGCGACGACGATGAATGGTGGGGAAGTAAACGCGGACCTTCTGGCTCTGGTGTAAGAATAGAAGACGAAGAGTTTGTTGTGGTCGGACATTTCGGTGATTCCGGCGATCGTGATTCTTCATCATCTGAAGACGGCGATATCCATGGAGATATTCTCGTCGGTGTTCATGGCGGCGATATACATGATGATAATAAGACTGTAAGTGAAAGCGAGCAAGAAAAGGTTAACGGTGGTGGGTTGAGATCGGAATCGTATTTACATTGGGATCCGCCGTACTCCACCATGGGTTCAACGAAAGGTGTTGATCTGTTGCCGACTTGCAGCATGATTGAAGAAATATTTGGGTCCTCAAAAAACGGGAAGAATACTTAATGAGGTAACTTTATTCAGATGCTAATATAAGCTCCCCACCCCTCCTCTTCTACCTACCATGTACTTTTTGTACATTAATTTTGTGATACGAACCATACGAGGGATTTGTTTTGTTCCTCGATCTTAAATTACTCGCAAATATCTTTTAATTTATAACGGAATTGCGCTATTTTATTGCAACATAAATTGCTCGCAAATATTTGAACAGCTTGTTCTTTTGTTGCGTTATCAATTAAAAATTCCAAAAATAAACGTCGCAATTAAAAAGTCTCATTGCCAACACAAAACCTTGCCTATTCTTGAATTACATATATGAGTATAACATTCGCAAGAGAAAAAACAATGTTCGCAGACTTTACTTATAAGAATTGTTCCTAAATTCCTATGGGATTGTTGAGGCATTTCATCAAATATTTGATATGCATTTCATCTAGCAACTTGTTATCTAATCTCTATAAAAACTCACAACTACCAACATATAAGCAACACAGATTTTATCAAAGTTAATGGACAACAACACATATTTTATCAAAGTTAATGAACAAGAAAATCATGAAATTAGGTTATGGAATGGGTCGTTTTAATCAAAATGAATAATAATACGTAAAAGAGATATTGGGGAAAAACCAAAATTCTTCTCTCCGTTGGTTGTGTTGCTCAAATTGGAATTAGTAATTTTGTGGGTTCCTTTATAGTTTATATCTAATCGAAGATGGGTAGAGGAAAAAAAGAAGTCAAGGAGATTGAGAACGTAGGCAACAACCAGAGGCTCGGTGGAAGATGATGAAGAGCATCCGTGTAATGTAGGGTGGAAATTACCAAAATACCCTTCTACGCATGGCATATGGAAAAAGGTCTTAACGACAGTTAGGGCGAAGGACCAAAAGAGTTGCAAAAATGTATTTCAGGGACCATCAGAGCAAGAAACATAAACTTGTGAGCTGAAGATGTTACATTTATCAAACCACATGGACCAAACATGTAATTTACTCTTAAAGTAATATGCAAAATATAGTTACAAATTCTATAAGCTATTCTTATATAATAGAGTAAATTACGGTTTGTTCGAATTTTTAGTTTTTGTTCCTAAATTTAAAATTTGATAGATTACGGTTTGTGAAAATTGCACTTTTGGTCCTCGGTTCATATAAAAAGATTAAATTACCCTTTCTTTATATATATATATATATATATATATATATATATATATATATATATATATATATATATATATATATATATATATATATATATATTGTTTTTTATATATATTTTAATAGAAAATAATATAGATTATTTATAAAATTATTTTTATTTTTTAAATCAATTATCTAAATTATATAAAATCATATTATTATTATTTATTTTTTGCTTTATTTATTTATCTTTGTTTTTATAGTTTAAAAATCTTTTAATATTTTTGACGTTTTATTTAAATATATTTTTTAATGTTTTTTTTTGACGTTTTGTCCGTCAAATATAATTATTTAATGTTCTTTTTTATGTGTTTTTTGTTTACATCATTCACTTATATGTAGGGTTGTAAATGAATTAAACGTTCGTTGAACCGTTCGTAAGCTGTTCAGCTGGAAGTTCGTTTATGTTTGTTTATTTAATAAATGAACGAACATGAACAAAAATTACCGTTCAATTAGTTAAACGAACGAACATGAACATGTCATATTCGTTTCATTTATGTTCGTGAACGTTCGTTTATGATATTCATTTATGTTCATTTATAAAATAAATAAAACATAAACGAACTTCCCGTCGAACAGTTCACCCGTTTGTTTACAACCCTACATATAAGTGAATGATGTAAACAAAAAACACAAAAAAACAACATTAAATAATTGTATTGGACGGACAAAACGTTAAAAAAACATTTAAAATATATTTAAGCATAATGTCAAGAATATTAAAAAAGAATTAAACTATAAAAACAAAGATAAATAAATAAATGAAAAAATAAATAATAATAATAATAATAATAATAATAATGTGATTTTATATAATTTAGGTAATTAATATATAAAATAAAAATAATTTTATAAATAATCTCTCTCTCTCTCTCTCTCTCTCTCTCTATATATATATATATATATATATATATATATATATATATATATATATATATATATATATATATATATATATATATATATATATATATATATATATATATAGAGAGAGAGAGAGAGAGAGAGAGAGTAAATTACAAAATGGTCCCTATGGTTTGGGGTAATTTGCGCTTGGTCCCTAACTTATTTTTTAACTCGGAAGGTCCATACTATTTGTTTTTGTTACATGCTTGATCTCAACTGTTTGGTTTTGTTACGTGCTTGGTCTCTTTCTTACCTTAAAAAATAATTATTTAAATAAAGACAAAATGGTGGGATACGTAAGGTAGGGAAAATGACTAAGGAGGGTAACTACCTCTTATCTGTATTCACATATTAGCACCTTCTTCTTTTTTGTACATAATAAAGCAACTAACTTGTTTTAACTGTTTAAATTACACCAATATTACCGGCCAATACTTGTTTTAACCGGTAAATCAAAGGGAAAATGACTTAGGAGGGTAACTACCTTTTATCCGTGTTCACATATTGGCAACTTCTTATTTTTTGTACATAAGAAAGCAACTAACTTGTTTTAACTGTGTAACATCCCAAAAATCATGACCAAAAATTTTGTTTTTAATTTAATACTAAAACCATAATTGTCAAACCATTAATTTAATACTCCGGCATCGGGCCTCGCCCGACATCAGGCCTGGCATCGAGCCCCGCTCGGTATACAAATCTGTCTTTGTTAGCCCCCGCTTGTCTCCAGGCCCCGTCCGCTAAACACATACATTCATATAACATGATAACACATAAAAAAACATACTCTACTGTATCCTTATCTTAAGAAACATACTCTGCTAATAATGAGATGCAAAACTTCGTCCGTACTCAACTAGTTCCAGCTAGGGCTTCAGCGTAGTCTATGAGTAGGAAGACCCGGGGGTTAGCCCTAAGTATTGTATGCTAGTATGTTATTCGAGACCAAGGTATGATGTCGGGTGGGTGCCCGGGGAATGTTTGCATGTTAGATTATACTTGTTGTTTGTGTGATACTTGTATGTGCCTGGTAAAGAGGTGAGTGTGGGTGAGGTCCCGTATCTCATCACTAGCTGAGTACGGACGATGTTCCGTATCTCATTATTAACATAATATGTTTCTTAAGACAGAGATACAATAGAGTATGTTTCTTTGGTGGACATTAGTTTTATTTTAGCAAGCAGTCGTCTTTCGATGAATGGTTATGTTTCAGAAATGTGTTAATTACAAAGAACATGTTGTGTATTGATGAATATTTTCTTTTAGAGTATAGATTTCGTGTTTCGTATGTGTGGGTTAGGATTTTAGACTTAGAGTTTAAGGTTTACGTTTTCTAAAAATAAGCTATCTAATTAAATATAAGTCAAACTTTGTAACAAAACAAACATAATTTATGTCAAAAATCGCTCATTTTAATTATTTTAATATTTTATCATCTTTTTTAAAAAATGGTGTTAGTATTTAATTTTGAATATTAAGTCTATAAAATTTTAGTGTTATATATTTTTTTTTAAAATAAACATAAGTTGCTATTTAGTTTTATTGTTAAATTTGGTTTTCCATGTAGCACATTGCTACCATATGTATGAACACACTTTATGTTCTCCAATCTCCATTTTCATAGTGAACTTGTTATTCCATATTTTTAATAATTAAAAAATTAATACTTAATTTAGATGTGTTCCATGTTTTTCGTTATTTGGAAAATAATAGTATTAACTCTATTATTATGATTTTTAAAATGGGAAAATGACACATACGCCCTATGAAGTTTCTAGGGTCGACCATTTTAGTCACTTAAGTTTTTTCGTGGCTTTATGAGGAAATCAAGTTGTAGGCAACCTGTCTTTTTAGTCCCTTTTACTTGTTTTAGCCGGTTTAGGGGAAACATAGATAAAAATTGGGCCCACCCATCTCTCTCTCTCTCTCAATTGAATAATTGTTACCTAGAAACCAATCACCACCCGTATTTTCCTTTGTTCACCAATAATTTGTTTAGGTATCAGATTGAATAATTGTCTTCATTAAATCGCTAATATATACAAAATGGGGGGCCTTCGTCTTCATTAGATCTGGAAGGGAAATTGATTCGGATGGAAACAGGAAACGATGGGGTGATTGTTTGTGGCTGATCAGCGAGCACCGATTGAGGAAGGAAGACGGAAATAATAGGTGGTTGCAGTCTGTCTCCATCTTCAACGATCGGGTAAGGAATGTACTGTCGAAGTCGCAAGGAAACTCTGATGTTGGCTGGCAATCGAGAGAAGGGGAGGGCATTAATCTTCGGCGATGGCTCGGAGAACATGAGGAGGGGTGTCGACACTCCAGGGCTGCTCCAGCGATTTCCTTCTTCTTCTGGTCCGACCGACTGCAACACAAGAAGGGAAGGAAGGTTCATCGGAAATTGAACAACAACAAATGAGGGGTGGTTATGAGGAGTTCGATCGATCAAGGAGGAAGAAAATCAAAAGAAGAAGGGTTGATTTCGGTCCGGTGGCGGCAAATCCGTTGAAGGGGACGAAGCTCATTTTTTCCGTCGTACCCTTGACATTCTTGATTTCGTCGCCAGCGACCACAGATCAAGGGGAAGGAGCTGAAGGCAGTGACAGGCTCGATGATGGTTGAAGCATCGAAGGTGATGACGATATGGATGCTCCGGTAATCCTCTCGACTGTTTTCCCTTCTTGTTGTTAATTGTGGAGGTGAGTAGCTGACGAAGTGATCAGAGGGAGTTTGGCTGGAGCTTCAATCGTTATTCTCTGGGGGAGGGGCTGCCATCGCCGATGAGAGAGAGAGAGAGAGAGAGAGAGAGAGAGAGAGAGAGAGAGAGAGAGAGATTTAGATGTCATGGGACGTTTTAATTTTTTTTAATTTATTAAAATAGAAAAATAAGTGACCTGGCATAGGGGTAACCCGGTTACCCCTTCGTTTTCTCAAAAAGAACGTATTGGACCCGACAAAACCAAATTTGTTCCCTTAAAACGCCACTTAAAAAGTCAAGTGACTAAAAGAGTAAATCATAAAAACTTCATAGGGCGGATGTGTCATTTTCCCTTTTAAAATAGTATTAAAACAATTTATATCCAACCCAATGAACTCAAGCGTAAAGGAACTTTAAATGTTTACTTGACATTACTCGTCAGAAAAAAAAAAAAAACAAAATACTGTCATAAAAAGCTAACATTAAACATTAATTTAAATATGTAAAACATTAATAATCAACATTACAAGAGAATCTACAAAATTCAAAATAAAAATAATAATAATCAAAATAAAAAACAAACATAGTCTATCATTTTATCTTCATAATCAAAAAATAATTAACAGAATAAAGACATGAGTTGCATTGAATCCATAAATAGAAACCATGTGAGTTTGGTTCTCCATTATCCGCCCCTCGCATTTTTCCAACTAAAAAGTTAATCATTATCACATCTTTTTTTTTACTTCAATTCCTTTGACATAACGGATTTATGCATAAAATTTTTCAACATGCTGCTCTAAGTTGCTATGAAGAAAGTAGAAGTGTTTGAAAACATACAAACAATAGAAAAAAACAGTTAAAACAGAAAAATAAATTAAAAGCATACAACTCCTCTAAGGTTTGATATTCAATTATTGGTAAATTCTTGGGAGCTCTATAGGGTTGTTAAGTTGAGTCACCTTAAAGGAAGATTTTGAATTCACCATAACAGATGAAACTGGGATAGGGGCAATATCGTCTAACAGAGACTAATAGAGTGAAGCAAAGGAGAATCACACAATTATTTTTGATCAGCTGATAAATATACATACTTGTTTTAATGGACAGAGCTTATTCTCAACTCTTGACCCAACAATCAGCCACATATGGGTTGATCCTGCTTTCGCACACCACCACACACTACCTAAAAAAATTGCAAATGATTCACTTGAAATTA